GAACCTGCCAGCCTCATGCATGTGGCCAGCGCCATAAGTACTGTGCTACGGGCGCCGAGCCATGAATTTTTATTTTTCAAACCAATCTAATTGGATTTGGATTGGGGGGACAGGTACAGGGTGAGCAAGTTTAACAGATTGGGCCAGATGTGGTGGCTCACATCTGTAATCCTAGCATTCTGGAAGGCTGAGATGGTGGATTGTTTGAGCTCAGAAATTTCAGACCAGCCTGAACAAGAGTGAGACCCCATCTCTACTAAAAATACAAAAATAAAATTAGCCATGTGTTGTGGGTACCTGTAGTCCCAGCTACTCAAGCAGTTGAGGTATGAGGATCACTTCAGCCCAAGAGTTTGATGTTTCTGTAAGCTATGATGATGCTACAGCCCCCTACCCAGGGAGAGAGAGTAAGACTGTCTCCAAAAAAGAAAAAAAAAATCTATTCAGCTTGCTGGTTATGGACGGATTTGTACTCTTCCCTGTTTACCACCCATTTCCTTTGTTGTTTTCCTCTTCCTCAGCTTTATGTTACATCAGTGATTTTCTATATTCTTTCTGCTCGTTTGGAAGCTTTAGATTGTGTTTTTATTCTTTAGGTGGTTACCCTTAAATTTTAACTAAAATTACCATAAAATTTTCTCCTGGGAAGGTCCAGGAGCCAGACCCCTTCCTCAGCTGTGAGTGACAGCTGCATTTTATCCAGTCCACAGCCAGGACTTAGGGGAGGGCAGGAAGGACCCTGGCTTCTCTGAACTAGCTTATACCTCTGGAATGGGTTCTATTGGAACTCTGTCAGAACTGTCCACAGATTCTTATTCTCCAGCTGCCACTGGCTAGGGCTGCAGGTTGCTGCTAATTTGAATTCGTTTGCACAAAGGGGATGTGGTGCCATAATGGGCATAATAGACCCAACAGTGGGTCTATCCATGAAGTTCCCTCTTCCAGCTATCACCAGCAAGGACAGGGCTGCAGCTGTTTGAACTTTTTACAACAGAAACTATAGGGCTGGGCTGTGGCTCATGCCTGTAATCCTAGCAATCTGGGAGGCCAAGGCAAGTGGATTGCTTGAGCTTGCCAGTTCAAGACCAGCCTGAGCAAGAGGGAAACCCGGTCTCTAAAAAATAGCTGGGCGTTGTGGCAGGCACCTGTAGTCCCAGCCACTCAGGAGGCTGAGGCAAATGAAACTCTTGAGCCCAGGAGTTTGAGGTTGCTGTGAGCTCTGACTCCATGGTACTCTACCCAGGGTAACAAAGTAAAACTTTGTCTCAAAAAAAAGAAAACTCTAGCTAAATACTGTGGTTCCTTTAAACTGGGTGGAGGACAGGCTGACACCAGGACAGAATCAGTTTGTGCTATGTAAGTAAGAGACTCTTGCTGCAGCCCTAAAGTGAGCTTCATGAACCTCTGGGAGAAGGGCCACAAGCACAGGCCCCAGTTCATTGGCAAAGGGGTGGTAAACTATTTCCTGGCCTCCAGATCTGGTCTCACCCTGCCAGTTTTAGTTCTGTGTTTTACTTCCAAATAGGTCTATGCAGTGCTCCCCAAGGGTCCCCAGTTCGATTCTTTCTCAACTATTTAGGGACAACCTAACATTTCAACTAAAAAAGTATAATTAATATTTTTTTATTATTTTATTAAATCATAAAGAGTTAGATCATGTGTACATTAATGCATTTATGGGGTACAATGTGCTGATTTCATATACAATTTGGAATGCTTGCATCATGCTGGTTAATATATCCCTCACCTCATTTATTTAATTATTGTGTTAAGACATTTATACTCTATACTTAATAGATCTGACATGTATCCTATTGCGCCCTAGGTGTGATCCCACCGTTCACCCTCCCTCCATCTGCTCTCCCCCCTCCCTCCTGCATCCTGGGCCATAGTTGTGATCTATTCTTCATATGAAAGTGTGATTATAAATTGGTTTCATAATAGTACTGAGTACATTGGATACTTTTTCCTCCATTCTTGAGATACTTTACTAAGTAGGATATGTTCTAGCTCCATCCATATAAACATAAAAGAGGTAAAGTCCCCATCTTTTTAAAGGCTGCATAATATTCCATGGTATACATATTCCATAATTTACTAATCCATTCATGGGTTGATGGGCACTAGGGCTTCTTCTGTGACTTGGCTATTATGAATTGAGTGGCGATGAACAATCTGGTGCAAATATCTTTGTTGTAAAATGATTTTTGTTCTTTTGGATATACTCCTAGTAGAGGAATTGCAGGATCGAATAGCAGGTCTACTTTTAGATCCCTGAGTATTGTCCATACTTCTTTCCAAAAAAATATAATTAATATCTTTAAAAAGCTAAAAATAATCATGGGAAGGAGCCAGCCAAATAATTCTGGAAACATGAAAAATCAGAGCAGATTAACTCCCCCAGGAGATTATAAGGGAGATGCAGCAGAAAATACCATCCATAGAGAAATTGTTGAAATGTCAGAAATAGAATTCAGAATATAGATGGCAAATAAGATGAATGGAATTGAGAAGATGGAAATAGAAATTAAAAAATAGTCCAAAAGTTATCTCAAGAAATTAGTGAATTTAAAGGCAAAGTCACAGATGATGCCCTTAGCTCAGTGGGTAGGGCGCCAGCCGCATACACAGAAGCTGGTGGGTTCAAACCTGGCCCAGAGCCTGCCAAACAACAATGACAAATGCAACAAAAATATAACTGGGCATTGTGGTAGACACCTGTAGTCTCAGCTACTTGGGAGGCTGAGACAAGAGAATCACTTAAGCCCTAGAGTTTCAGGTTGCTGTGAGCTGTGATTTCACAGCACTCTACCAAGGGTGAAATAGTGAAACTTTGTCTCAAAATAAATAAATGAAATAATAAAAACAAAGCCACCAAGGAACTGGACATAATGAGAAAAAATATTGCAGATCTTAAGGAATTGAAAGAGGCATTCAGGAGCTTCAAAACACAGTAGAGAACCTCAGTAATAGAAGAAGAAGGAGAAGAAAGAATTTCAGAAAGAAGAATTTCAGAACTTCAGAAACAAGACTTTTGAACTATCCCAGTCATTCAAAGAGGCAGAAAAAAAAAGAGAACAAAAACAGAATAAATATTCTCTGAGAGAATTATGGGATTGTTCCAAAAGATCAAACATCTGGATTATAGAAATTCCTTAAAGAGAAGAGGATGGTCCTAAAACACTGATACTCTATTTTAAGACATGGTAGAGAATTTCCCAAGCACTGTGAGAGACAAAATTTATATAGTCCTCAGCAGGACTCAATCAAACAGAGCATCTCCTAAACACTTTGTAATTAACTTTGCCAAAGTTAATGTGAAAAAGAAAATCCTGCAAGCAACCAGGGGTAAGAAAAATCTTATCTACAAAGGAAAAAAATATCAGGATGAATGCAGATCTTTCAGCTGGTCATTGGCCTTTAACCCTCTTTTTTTCTTTTTTTAAATAATATACAGTTAAACATATTGGCCTTTAACCTTCTTAAACGAAATACTTTTCAGCTGAGGATCCTGCTAAACTGAGTTTCACTATGGTGGAGAAATCAAATATTTTAGTGACATGCAGATGTCAAGGAAATTTACCACAACTGGATCAGCTCTAGAGAAAGTACTTAGACCCGTTCTTCATACTGGCCCGCGTGATGATCCATCACCAAAGTAAACGCTCCAGAGATTAAAGAAAAAAGCCTAGTGTCCATAAGGTTCAAGGGATAAAACTAAGCTCTGGAACTCTGGAAAACAAGATGACCAAAACTCCACCCTACCTATCGATTCTCTCAATAAATGCGAATAACTTGAATTCCCCACTGAGGAGGCACAGGCTGGCTGACTGGATACAAAAGCTCTAGCTCAATATCTGTTGTATCCAAGAAATATACCTAACCTCAAAGGATAAAACAAGACTCAGGGTGAAGGGATGGAAAACAATAATCCAGTCAAATGGATATCAGAAAAAAGCAGGAGGTGCGGTCTTGTTTGCAGATACAATTGGATTTAAACCAACAAAAACAAGGAAAGATAAGGATGGACACTACATACTTGTCAAGGGAAGCATATAACATGAAGAGATTTCAATAATTTAACATTTATACACCCAATCTAAAGATTCCTCAATACATTAAACCATACAATTTTCTCACAAAGGCTAAACATGTTCCTTTCACTATTCATAGGGAGCCGGCTCCTCACTCTCTGGCATTTTTCACGTGCAAAAGAGAGTGCTGTGGGTGTTTGTGGAGAAGGACCAAGACAGAGGCTATGTGTGAAGTGGCATGTACAGGACAAATGGTGGTTATGAGGGCAAAGAAGGCAAGGGGTAGGAAGGAGGGGGTCAGAAGAAATGTGTCCATGACTTCTTCACTCCCCACTTCTGTTTTATTAGATTCTAAACTCAATCACTACTACTCCTACTCTTTTTTTTTTTTTTCTGGAGACAGGGTTTTGTTTTGTCACCCAGGCTGGAGTACAGTGGCATGATCACAACTCACTTACTGGAGCCTCCAATTCCTAGGCTCAAGGGATCCTCCTACCTCAGCCTCCTAAGTAGCTGGGACTACAGATGCGTGCCACCACACCTAATTTTTTTTTTTTTTAATTTTTGTAGAGACGAGGTCTCACCATGTTACCCAGGCTGGTCTTGAACTCCTGGACTCAAGGGATCTTCCTGCCTCAGCCTCCCAAAGTGCTGGGATTACAGGTGCAAACCACAGTGCCTGACCAGTACTCTTAATTTCTTTGAGACTTACGTTTAATACACATGCATTTAATATGCATATATATGTATTTCATTTAACTCTTTTTCAAGCTGCAGCCATTTCAGGGATCCAGCCATACAGGAATCCTGAGATGCAGTGGGCCAAGAGAGGAACATTTCAAAACACTAAGAACAGAAGACATGCAAACAATTTTATTATTCTGGAAATGTGTTTTCAGTTCTTGCAGTTCTAAGCTCCTTTTACATGTACATGTTCTTATGGCTCATTCATGACACTAGGTCTCTTTACTTTTTCTTTTTCTTGCTTGTCATGGACTTGCTGGGCTGGGACATGACTGTGTCCTCTTTGGGGGGGCTTGGTGTGAGGCTAGAGGATGGGGGGTCCACTGGCTCCTTGATCACAGTGATGTCAATCTCATAGTCTAGTCGTTTGGCCTCTTCCTCTCTTAAGATATTCAGCCTAGAAAGCAAACGTGAGAAGGTAACTTTTTTTCCTTTGAAACTGCAAAACCCAGTTTGTATGCTGTATATTGTGTATAGAGGTCTATCTGTGTGTCAGCAGTGTTCGTGAACAAAACTAAATTGTCTTCGCTTTGCCTGAAATAATAAGTGATGCCATAGCTGGACAGTCCAAAATAAACTTTTCATATATCTAAAGTGATTTGTGAACCAACTTAGCAGCTAGCAAGTGGCCTTTTAAAATTCCACCTGTTTTCTTTACCCTAAGTGCGAATAATGCTTTCTTCAGTAGGCTGGAAGGTACTTTACAAAGGGCATGTCTGCAATCAGACTGCCATGACCCTGCAGAGCAGCACCTCAGCTCTGAGGGTGATGTGAACCCTTCCTCAGGTTCAGGAATTTGCAAAATGGCTCGCAGAACTCAAGGAAACACTTTACTACTTCCATTTACCAATTTTATAAAGGATAAAGATGAACAGCCAGATGAAGAGGTAGGTACACAGGGCAAGGTCTAGAAGAGTCCCCACATGAGGCTCTGACCGTGGTGGTTGGGGTGCCCCTCACACAGATGTGTTCACCGACTCAGAAACTCTCCAAACACTGTTGTCTAGGGTTTTATGGAAGTTCCATTATGTGGACTTGATTGAGTAAATCATTGGCCATTAATGATTGAGCTCAATCTCCAGTCCCTCTGCCTGCCCCAGATGTGGAGGGGTGGATATGAAAGTTCCAGCTCTCTAATCATGTGATTGGTTCCTCTGACCACCAGCCCCGGTTGGAAACTATTTAGAGCCCCAGCCTGACCATCTCATTAGTATACAAAAGATAGTCTCGTAATTCCAGGAGTCCCAAGGGTCTTAGAAGCCGCTCTTATGTCAGGAACCAGGAACTAAAACCAAATCTTTGAAGAAAAGACACTCGTATGAGCCTGGAGGTTCCATCCACATAACATGATGTTTTCCAGCCAGGCCTCCTGTCTCTCCCATGACTAGTCTTGCCACTATAACTCAGTTTATCATGCTCCATTCGTTCTATAACCTCAGGTGGTTTATCAGCTTCTATACCCCATTGGGGGATTGGGAAATCACTCTGGTTCTCCCCATGTATGTGTTAATACATTTATATGCCTTTTCTCTTATTAATTTGCCTTTTGTGAGTTGATTTTTCAGCAATCCTTCAGAGGGCAACGAGGAAGCTTTCCACTGGCCCCTATAAAAGCATATTGGGTCCTGATTGATCAAGGTAGTTATAGAAGGCAGGAAAGAAAGATGGCTGAGCCCTTGAAAGAGAGGAGGAACGGGGGCTCTTTGTAAAGTTACCTTGCTTCCAGCTCATCATTTTCAATTTTCTTCTGATGAGCCATTGCTGCATTACGTAACCTGTTTTCCTTTATTTTCTCCTTGAGAGTTTCTTCATGCTTATACGCTTGAAAGAGCGTGTTCACAAAAAAGACATACATGTTACTGATCCATGTATTGAGTTTTTCCTTTTGATCATCCTTGGGTTTTTCAAATTTCTCTGGAATAAAATTTAATTAGTATGAGCATTAATACAATCCTGAGATAAATTTGGAGCCTGTATGCATATTGTAGTTCTGCCCCTGCCAGCAGTGAGCTGAGTGTCCTACTCTCTGCATGGTGGGGTGATGCAGCCTTCTCAGGGTTGTGAGCCTTAGGAAACTGCCTCTGTGACTACCTGCAACAAGGCAGGTGCTCAGAAGACCACAGTTAGCACTAGCAACATTCCCCATGAGTTTCCTGATACCTTTTTTGTTTTTCTTTTCTTTTTTTTTTGGAGAGAGTTCCACTATGTCAGCCTCAGTTAAGTGTCGTGGCATCACAGCGCATAGCAACCTCCCAAGTAGCTGTGACTACAAGCATGTACCACTACACCTGGCTAGTTTTTTTCTCTGTTTTTAGTACAGATGGGGTCTCACTGTTGCTCAGGCTGGGCTCAAACTCCTAAGTTGAAGCAATCCACCTGCCTTGGCTTCCCAGGGTGTTAGAATTATAGGTGTGTGCCACCGTGACTGGCCCATCTACAATTTTTTTAATGTAAATATTCTAAAAAGTTCATATAATGTTAAATCAACTATTAGCAATTCAAGTTCTCATTCTATGAGATTTTTAATGGTTACAAATTATTCTAGTATATAGACAGAAAATGTAAGAGATGTGCCTTAATCTATTTAAGGATTTTTTTTAAATTTCCTAATATAAACAATTAGGTTACAGTATTTGCATTTGTTAGGTAAAGTCCCTGTTGTAGTTATGTCCCGCACCCAGGAAGTGTGTCATATACCCTTATATTGTATCCATCACGAGGGAACAAACCAATTTCCCTCCCTCCTCCTCCTCTCCCCTCCTTCGCTCCCCCTAACTTGAATTGAATTGAGTTTTTCTCTTGTGTGGGCATATAATAGTTCATCTACTGACTTCATATTAGTATTGAGTACATTGGACACTTGCTTTTCCATTCTTGTGATACTTTACTAAGAATAATATGTTTCAACTCCTTCCAGGTTAATACAAAACATGCAAAGTCTCCATCTCTCTTT